TATTAAACTCTAGCAATAATCTTATTGGTCTAAACTCTGTTCTTTACAGTTTATTTATAATCTCTCTCTTATCAAAGCTGCGGCAAGTTCATAAAATATACGTATATTTAAACTGTAAATCGTTCTTATTTTTAATGGGATAAATTATTCATTATTCCGTCAATATTTATTCATTTTTCTTTGTCTAACAATTATAACATAGGCGGTGGAAATGGCATAACTGCCATGTGTAAAAATTTTGGTCAAATGGATTAATTGCGGATTAATTTTGATTTGTTATCCAAATATTGAGCAGATGTCCCCAAGTGGTGTCAGGGTCCGCGCGTTCTTGCTTTTTTCCGAAGCCAACAAAGGCAAAATCTACTTGGCGCGAAATTTTGTTTACTTCTCACTATTTCTCGAGAGAGACGGAGTAATTTATACATAATATTGAATAAAAAACAAAACTTTTTAACACAGCTTAATATAAAAATGTTTTTTGGTAAAACAACGTAACTAGCATTTGTTTTAAATATAGAAAACTATAGAGAATATGATTTTTTTTTTTTAATGTCAAAAACCCTATCAACGATCCGACCATTTTCGATTTTTTCCTTGGACCAACGTCGAGGCTGAACGCAAAAGGGAAATTCGGACATAGCATGCGGAAATGCCGAAAACCTCTAGGATTTTTTCTAATTTTGATATTAATTATACCCAAACGACCTTCTCCTTGCAGGTGTACCGCAGGGCAGTGTTCTGGCACCCGTGCTACCAAGAGTACATAGCAGACCTCCCACCCCATCCTCAAACCACCACCCTAACCTTTGCAGACGATACAGCGATCCTTTCCGTCAATTCTGATCCAGACAATTTCTACTCGAAACCTTCAAGAACAGGTCACACTACTGGAATCATGGTGTAAAAAAAAAGATTAAAATTCAACCCAGAAAAATCCATTCACATAACCTTCAACTTCCGCAAAAAGATCCCACCTCTAGTTTACTTCAATCAAATACCCCTCCCAACTGCGGGCCAGGTGCGGTACCTAGGACAATATATTGACAAACGACCATTTTGACTTTTTCCCTGGACCAACGTCGAGGCTGAATGCAAAAGGGAAATACGGTCATAGCATGCGGAAATGCCGAAAACCTCTAGGATTTTTTCTAATTTTGATATTAATTATACCCAAACGATCTTCTCCTTGCAGGTGTACCGCAGGGCAGTGTTCTGGCGCCCGTGCTACCATGAGTACGCAGCAGACCTTCCATCCTCAAACCACCACCCTAACTTTGCAGATGGTACAGCGATCCTTTCAATAAATTCTGATCCAGCCATTTCCACTCGAAACCTCCAAGAACACCTCCCACTACTGGAATCATGGTGTAAAAGAAAGATTAGAATTCAACCCAGAAAAATCCATCCACATAACCTTCACCTTCCGCAAAAAGATCCTTCCTCCAGTCTACTTCAATCAAATGCCCGTACCAACTGCGGACAAGGTGCGGTACCTAGGACTTTATATTGACAAACGACCATTTTCCCTTTCTTCCTTGGACCAACGTTGAAGCTGAATACAAAAGGGAAATTCGGTCATGGCATGGGGAAATGTCAAAAATCTCTATGATTTTTTTTAATTTTTAACATTAATTATCCCCAAGCCACCTTCTCCTTGCTGGTGTTCCGCAGGGCGGTGTTCTGGCGCCCGTACTGTACCATGTGTACACTGCAGACCTCCCATCCCACCCTCAAACCACCACTCCAACCTTTCCAGACGGTACAGCGATCCTTTCCGTCAATCCAGTCATTTCTACTCGAAACCTTCAAGAACATCTCACATCTGGAATCATGGTGTAAAAAAATGATTGAAATTCAACCCAGAAAATTTCATCTACATAACCTTCACTTTCCGCAAAAAGATCCTTCCTCCAGTCTACTTCAATCAAATGCCCGTACCAACTGCGGACAAGGTGCGATACCTAGAACTATATATTGACAAACGTCTGACGTCGAATCCTCACACATAAAACGACAAGAAGTTATGAAACTTTACAGAGCACTTTAACGACTTCTTCACAGACGTTCTAACCTACCTTTCTTAAACAAAAGACTACTTTATAATACCCTAGGGAAGCCGATATGGACTTATGGACTGGAAGCCAAACATTCCAATATCCTACGCATCCAAAGAACCCAATCCATAATCCTCAGAAAAATCCTTAATGATCCCTTTTCCAACGTGCAACGAAACTACTCATATGGACCTAAATATTCCTTTTGTCCAAGAGATAATCCACTCCCGTTACCAAACATTTTACACAAACCTCTCAACCACTATAAATCCTCAAATTCAAATCCTTCCAACCCTCCTCTTCTATCCAGTGACAACAATTAAATACTTAGGACTTACCTACATACCAAAATGAAGATAATTGTAATATACAATAAAAAAAACATATATTCAAAAGCTTGGTTTAGAAGAGAAAGTTGTTTGGTTTTTAAAGTTAATGCAAACAATTTTTTTTTTACGCTTCTATTTTCAACTAAAAACCTTTCACATATTGTATGAAAGCAGTTAAATACACAGATTGTCACTGAGTGAAATTCATTTCTTTACATTTGATTGTAACATTGTTTTTGGTTGAGTTATAAAGAGTTGTCAGGGGTCCGCTTATCCTCGCTCCGACAAGAGTTGTCAAACGTCAAACCAAGAATTGGATTGCAAGCCGCAGGAGACGTCAATGATTTTATTATGTCATTTACATAAATCATACGACACAACTGACAATAGCACAGATAAACAAACGTTATAGAATGTCAGTTTATAATAAATCAGAATACAACGATGTATGTTTTTAAATCATTTATATTTCAATTTTATTGTATCTCTATATTATTTTTTTATCTTAGTTGGTTTATTTTTCTTTCAAAATACTCCATTTAAATTTCTAAATTCGGACAGACTAACGAATTGTTGTCAGGGTCCGGCTAATCTTGCTTTGTTTCAAGTCAAACGACAATAAAATAAAAAAATCGATCTTGGTTCACTTTCATTTTTTCTAAATGTTTTCATTCCTTATTTTAATTGTTGATGTTCACGGGATAGAATTTAGAGTAAAGAAAAATTGTTTCAACACGTTTGTATATGTTTATACTACAATAAAATTAATTAAAATATTTTTTATAAATGAGAATTGATTTGTAAGAAGACAAAATTGTTTCAAAACAAGGAGAACGAAAATTGTCTTCGGGGTTCATAAATTGCTTATGAGTTCAGCCATCACAACATGAAATAAAGGTAATAACATGAAATGTCAAACGTCTATTATTTTGCAAGTTTCGATTTTCAGCTTTATTGTATGTTTTTAAATCACTTATAATTTCGTTTTTATATTATTTTTACTCACTAACGATTTTTCTTTCATAAGAGGTATTTACTTCGAAACGTTCAAAAATTGGGAGAATTGCTGTGTTGTTGACGTTGTAAAATGAATAAAGTCAGGGTCCGCCGATTCTCGCTGTTTTCTAGATCAAAATGCAAACTAGAAATTCGGTCAAGAAAGGTTCAGTCATCATAACAACACGAAATGTCGAAGATATAAAAAAAAAAGTTCAAAAGCTTTCCTAATGAAAAAAGCCAGGGTCCGTCAATTCTCGCTGTTTTCTTGACACAACATGAAATATCTAAAATCCCTGGAATTTTTTTTGTAAATTGCAATCCAATGTCGTATGTCCGAAGTCCAGTTTTTGTCAACCAAAAAATGTTTAAAAAAAAAAAGAAAAAAAAATATAAAAAATCACAAATTAATAAATCAAAAACTTCAAACGTTCACTTCAGCCATCACAACATAAAATGAAGGTAACAACATGAAATTTCGATTTTCAGTTTAACAGATTTGATTCGAAATATGTAATAGTTTTTGTGTTTATTTTTATTTTTTTTTATTTTTTAGAAAGTCTATTTTTTAATATTTCCATTTTCAGTTTTATTATGTATGTTTATATATGTTTTTAAATCACTTATAATTTCGCTTTATGCCTATTTTCACTCGTTAACAATTTTTTTCCCACAAGACGTTCATTTAAATTGCTAAATTTGGTCAGACTGAACGAGGGCGAATCAGTCAGGGTCCGCCTATTCTCGCTTTGTTTTAAGTCAAAACGACCTTTGTCCAGAAGAGAAATCAACAAGAAAGATATTAAGAAGAGAAGTCGCAAATTAATAAAACAAAAACTTTAAACTTGGTTCTCTTAAACTTGACACAACATGAAATGTCAAAAAAAACCCTAGGATTTTTTTTGCATTTTAAATCAGAATCCGACGATAATGTTTTTAAATCACTTATAATTTCGTTTTATATATATTTTCACTCGTTAACCAGATTTCTTTCACAAGTCGTTCATTTAAATTGCTAAATTTGGTCAGACTGAACGAGGGCGAATTGTCAGGGTCCGCCTATTCTCGCTTTGTTTTAAGTCAAAACGACCAATCTTTGTTCAAAAGAGAAATGAACAAACTATCAAGAAGAGAAGTCGAAAATTAAAAAAACAAAAACTTCAAACTTGGTTCACTTCTTTCTAAATGTTCTCATTCGTTATTTTAATAGTTGATGTTCATTGCATAAAATTTAATATAAAGAAAACTTGTTTAAACTAGATTTTGTATCTTTATATTAAAATAAAATTAATTAAAATAATTTTTTATAATGAGAATTGATTTGTAACAAGGCAAAATCGGTTCAAAACAATGAGAACGAAATTACCTTTGGGGGGGTCACAGATTGCTTATGTGTTCAGCCATCACAACAACATCAAATGAAGATAACATGAAATTTCAATTTTCAGTTTTACTGATTTGATTAGAATTATTTAATAGTTTTTGTTTCTTTTTATTTTTTAAATTTTTTGAAGTGGTTTTGTTTTTGGCGTTATAAAACCGTTTTTTTTATTTCTATCGCTGGTATTATTTTAAGGTATAATCATTTTTCAAAGTGAATGTAAAATACGGTTCAACTTACAGATTCAGAAAGGTGGAGATGAAACTTTCGTCATTGGATGAAATGCGTCCACAAATCCGCTTAGAACGTGAACTGTAAGCGTCCCGACTTCCCGATTTTCGTCAATGGGCGAAGAGACGGCTGGCCGAAAGAGAAACAACGCGAGATGCCGATCTTTGTTTACAAACAACAACCCGATTTCGAAAAGCATAAACAACACGATTCGCCTGTCCGAGGGCCGGATGCGTCCGTGGGTCGACACGGATCGGCCCGAGGTGTAGAACCGAAAAGTCGACCGATTTGGACAGAGTTCGATTTCCCTTTTCAAAAACGAGAAAACCACTTATTTCACAGATTCCGGCCAGTTAAAATAAACCGAGGGAAAAAATCGATAATTTCACTTTCAACCCCGACCCGGCTGTCCTCAGTGACAAGACTACAATAAATAGTCAACATGTTATGAACCAGTCTGGTTAAGCGTCTCATGAAATATCGTACTTTTCCCTTTCCGTCCAAATTCCCCCAAATCACTTCAACGCCACTTTAAAAAGACTCACATAAGTTAAAAAATGTATGATTCAACATAAAAAAAACATAATGCAACAATAATTGACACTGACAGTGTTCATCAACATAGTTCTAATGTTCAAAAACAAAAAAAAAACTAAAACAATACACCATCCACGTTTCAATGTAACAATATAAACAAATTATATTTCCAATTAAACTAAGAAATAAAAATTATTAAATAATTAAAAATGATTAATATAAATAAAATATCCAAGCAACCGGATTAAACGATCAACCTGGTTTTACCCGCCAAAATTCAAAAAACATATTTCATAACAACCTAGGCAAAAAGAAAATAATAAGCTGATAAAATAATTACACGAGTATTAAACAATATTGTATATATGTAAGAAAATATTAAAAAAAGAATGATTCGTATGACATATTTATCATGGTGCGCATATGATCATATGTTCCCTTTTTTCACAAAAAGGACCTAGGCAAATCTTGGGGATTGAAACCGAAAATGGCCCATTGGCAGTAATAATACACAAAATAACCAATGGATCATTAATCAAAGCTCAACAAAAAGTAGCTAGTCAATAATTAGGCATCACACAAAGATTAGAAAACCTGTGTATCACAGGTTTCATCAAATATGAAAAGAATAGAAGTGTCCTTGTTTTAGTCGGCCATTGGATAATCAATTGGTAATTTTAAACTTATGTTGAGGTGAACAGCCCCAGAAGAAAAGTCCAAATACTTCATTCAAAACATTTATTGACAACGTTTCAGACGTCTCACGTCCTTCATCAGGTACATAATCATCGTTTTTTTGTGTCAGTAACACCCTTTCCAGCATCCCAGATCAATAGCAATTTTTTGAAAATATCTAAAAAGAAAAACAATAAATTCTGAAACGTGTCAATAAATGTTTTGAACGAATCATTTGGTCTTTTCTTCTGGGGCTGCTCACCTCAACATAAGTTTAAAATTAGCAGAAGAATAGAAGATTTTCAAAATAAACCATTTTATCTGAAAATTCTTTTATTGTTCAAATATTAATTTAAAAGTGTATATTTACATTATTAAAAATGTATTTATACAAACTACAACTGTACAAACTAGGCGGCTACCAATCTCAAGTAATAAAGGTTTCCTCTGGTGTCCGCCAAGGTGCTCTACTATCTCCACTCTTATTTAACCTATTACCTATTAGGGATGGTTAGGGATGGGATAAAAACCACAATGTTTTTTTACAAAAGTTTCTATTTTTGGCTACTATTTTCAAACATTTTCAAGGAAAAAATGTTAGTTCCTTGTGTTTTATCATACATTGAGAAATAAAACGTATGTTTAAAAAATTAAACCTTTATTAAATCAACACTATGATAATAAATTTATTTATTAATGCTTCAAAATGAAGCTTTGGGGGGGGTGAAGAGTCCGATGTTTCATTTAGCAGTCCTGTGAAAAAAAATGTAAACTCAATCTTTTAATTGTATCCCTCAGAGTGTCAGTGCTTTTGAAAAAAAAAAGTCCATTTGATTGTTTGAAGTCAAAATTATTTTTTAACTTTGAATAATAATCCCTTAAGGGTTAAATTCCTTTTCCAGCCTTAATCTTTCTTGATTCGCCATCACAATGGGGTGACCAGGTTGGTGGGTCACGGATCATCGAGATCGTGATCAACCACCAAACTTTTTTGACGATTGTACATTCCAAGATATCCAAGATAGATGTGAATAGGCCCTGGTTTTGTAAAAAAAAATTGAAAGTCAAAATTTTCAGTTTTTTAACATTTTTCTACTTGCTCAAATCAATACTTTATCAATCATTTTACAGCAGTTTTTATGTAGATTGCAATAAAAATATAATAAAAATGATCAACATTTAACAATAACCAAAAAATGTCTAAAAACCAAATATTTCTCAATATTATCTCAATATATCAAATATTTCTTGGAAGAGTTTTTTTTTCTTAGTGGTCATAATTAACCATATTCATTATTCCAACTGATGAGTCTTTTTATCTAAAATTTTTGGTTGAGATGATAAATTAGTGTCACAAGTGGGATTTGTACTTCGGCAAAATATGTGGCCACTTCATAAGCTGCTGAGGATTGAAAATATGTAAAAAACAGGGAAAATTTGAGAGGTTTTAGGTTAAAACGAGGAGTTGGTGTCCGAGTGGATCAAAGACACGACAGCTCAAATGGTTAGGGCAGCAGCGCATTGAGCCGAAGGTCGTTGTTCGAATCCTGCTTGTGAAGCTAATTTTTCATTTTAACGTTAGATAAAAAGAATAATTACCCAGACAATCATTACATACACATTACTTAAACTATTGCTAAAGCAAATAAAACCATTTTCACAATCCGGATACAATTAAAAATTACTGTAAATGTACGTCCAAAATTATGTTATGATTCATCTCTTTGGATGCTCTTTCAATTCAGACATATCTGCCACATAGAAACAGGTTAGGTTTTTATGTTTGATACGTTATCTGAAATTACGATTGTTCTTTACAAAAGAAAATTTTTTTATTATAATTTCTATATATTTTTTTTAATACGTGTGTAATTAATAAGCTGTTAAATTAATATATTTTCTGTTGTCTCTCTATCTCTTCTTGACATATTGGACATCTGTTAAAAGTGGTATTTGGAACATGTTCTGTAAATTATCTATTTTTAATTTCTTTCGGTCGAGTAGGGTTTCCTATTTCTCCGTATTGTGTTGTTTTTGCAAGTAGTGTTTGTTCGCTGTATTTTGTATGTATTTGTTGTGCTCTTTAGTTACCCAAGATTCCAGTTCTGTGTACTGTATAGTTCATCCTAAAAAATAAATTTGGGCCTGTGTTGTTCCAAGGTGAAATTCCTCATGATCTGGTTTCCAACGTATTTTATTAACAGCATTAGCCTTTTTGTAGTATCAATTTTTTTTTTCTTAAGGTATTTAGGCAGTTACAAGTTTTGAGGTTATGTAGGCTTGAAAAACCGTCTGGCTATCTGATATTATTGTTGCACCCTTGATACGTTTGGTATTTATTTTGTTTGTATGGCAATGCTTGAAAAATAGGGTAGGGCCGATGCCGACAACCATTTGGTGCTCATAGTTATTGGATACTACTCACAGTTAGTTGTCGTCGAAAAATTTGGTATGTCCAGCATTTGTTACATGCTTCCTTTCCACAGTCTGATAAATTCTCAATTTCCCAACCATAAGACGCCAGCCTGAGTATTAATTTCGTTGCGACTTTGAGTGTTCTTTTAAGAACACCAATGATGCTATTCTTAGGACATCGTGTATCATGTAATAGTTGCTCAATTTTTGTCCAAAGGCGATCATGGATCTGATAATGTAAGGTATGACTATAAAGTCATGCTAGGATAAATTTAGAATTTGGTCCCAATTTAAAAAAAAAAACTTGCTTTGCTAAACAGAATACATCTTGTTAATTATCGGCCTTTAAAAGAATATTTCATAATAGCAAATTTTGAATTTAAGGTGGGTCAAAAATATAGAACAGTTATAAATAATGTTTTTTATTGAACACAATAAATATAGATACATAAATGTTTATTACATGTAATATCTGGTATAGGCTTTCCTTTTCTCCAAGTTTATAGATGAAGAGAACAAACACCCTGGTCTGCCACTGTCAAATACTCGGAATATACCTACTTAATTTTTTTTCTCCTTTGGACTGGGTATGTCGACCATGCCCATATCCCAGTTTCTGGGTCCGTCCGTCAACTGATTAAAGTACTGTAAAGTTAACTTTGGAACATAGCTGATGGGGATCCCCAAACCAAAACCACTCACACTTCAACACTGAGATCACACTATCTACATCTTAAAAACCATCTGATCACCGAGGCCAACAGCCTGCAATTTTTAGGACTGAAGAGCTAGGTTAGCTGTGAATTTGGTTTGTTAATTAAACGCTACAAAGTTAACTTAGCTAGTTAAATGACATTTAAGAGTGGACTTAAGTGTCTTTATTATTATTATTTTTACTAGGAAGTGTAAATTTAACTGATCTGTATTTGATCAGTTTAACAAATAAAATTTTTCGGAAAATAAAAAATGAGTAAAATATAATTTTCAGATATTAACAACTTATAAACATATAGAATCTATGTTTTATTAGAATTTTAATCAGGAATCAGTTTTGTCATGTCTGAAAGGTGAAGCACATAATATCTTCAGCAATCATCCCGGTCTGCTTATTTTTGCTTGTTTTTTCTATTAGGCATGTTTTCATATTTTACCATGTTAAGTAGTCAATTGTGATAATCCTGGATGATCGTATGCTATCAAGCTCTATATAGTCGGATATGATTTATGATGATTATGATTTACTCCTTAGTTTATAACTATCATTGAATTACTCTCTTTAAATATGAGCACAACGACAAGTCAAGAAACATCATAAAACACAAAGAATCTAAATAAAAATATATTTATTATCACAAAATGTATGTCTATAATTAAGAATATTCTTTTTTTTTTACCTATGTACAAGCTTGATGTAAATTTATTATCTTTGAAGCCAGGATATAGCAAGAGGGACGAATAAGCTGAATAGAGCAACGCTTGCTACAACGATCCGAGTCTCTTTCCTCTGTTGGTTCAGCATGTCTCCAAAATCCGGAGGCATCGCTACAAGCTGTCCTTCGTAATTCTGAACGGTTTTCAACATAGATTTCAACTCTTCGACCCTTTCTTGAAGATGATCTACTTTCTCCGTAACGATTGTTTCTTTTCCACTGTTATGCAGCATTTCGTCCAATCGTAACATTATACTTTTTTCATTTTTGTCCGTGCTGTAATTAGTTACTAATTCTTTCAAATCCCCTAATAACGTCGCTAATTCTTTTTCATGCTGTATTAGAGCATCTGACGTGGGTAATTGCGTCAACGATGCGGTTTTCATGCTTGTTTCTTTCACCTAAAAATATAATCAATTAGCTATTTTAAAATCGAAGGATTGGAAAAATTATCCGTCTCACTAGTTTTCTGAGTTCTCTGATTTTAAACTCATTATTGATTGAGCTGCCGACGACTCCAATGATGGTCCCTATGACTGAACCAATTATAGACCAGTATTTCGTCCTCTCTGCTTGCGCCCTTTCTTTTTGATGGCTTTCCTTTACGTAGGAAGAGAGTAGCGTAAAACTTTCACGTTCCTCACGTTCCAAAAGTAAAAATTCATTGTTCAACCTACGTTCCTCTTGTATAATATCGTGCTCCTGTGTGATCAGTTGTAAATATCTGTAACGGTACCAAAGCTCATATCCACTAAAGATTCTTATACGTTTAAGGGGGAAAATACCTAGTCTCTCCTCGGGTCGTCGTATCCAGCTCGGATGAGATCTCTTTGAGCCTTTGTTGTATTTTAAGGAGGGCTTTGTTCGCTTTCCACCTCTCGTCTTGAGCTTTGGAAAACTTGACCTGAGCTTCGATGACTCTATTCTGCATTTCCTTGACTTCGTCCATGCCTGTGAGCTGTTCGTACCAAATGACCATTTTCTCGATTTTTCTCTTCAGAAAGTGGCTACCCTTCCGTTCATCGACGGCCGTTAAGCTGTTCAAATTCACGGATTTTTGACAGTAAATATGCTGAGGTTTTATATTTTTGAATTTGACTAAAACCCGAAACATTTTATTTAAAACACTATCATCCTATCCTCATGCTTATCTGACAGGAGGAAATTGCAGGGTTATGGGCTACTACTGCCATGTATCCTCATGGATGACACATCAAAGGTAAACTTGGAAATCATGACATTATTATTACACAAAATAAATTGTTTTTTGCATTTTGGTCCTGAAAATGTTGACACTTTGAATGATTATGCTTCATTAAACTATAAAAAAAATCTTTCTTTTGCAAGTTTTCTATCAACACAACATGAACTTAGTAATCACATAGATGCCATCTACAGATTTTTCTAAGGCATTTGGTAGAGTTGACCACAACCTGTTGAAACTTAATTCAGTTGGGTTTTCTGGACGATTTTTTATACTGGATTTCTATTTATCTACCTAACTGACAAACTAGACAGCTACCAGTCTCAAATAATAAAAGTTTCCTCTGGTTTAGCCCAAGGTGCTCGTCTAGCTCCACTCTTATTTAACCCATTACTGTCCACAATTTTCTTTTTTTTTTTTTTTTAATTTTCTACAAAAGTTTCTATTTTTAGCTACTATTTTCAAACATTTTCAAGGAAAAAATGTTATTTTTAATTTTTTTTACATAAAATTTTTGGCATATGTTTTATCATACGTTGAGAACTAAAAGATATCTTTAAAAAAATAAAACCTTTATTAAATCAATATTATGATAATAAATTTATCATTTGCAATGGTACAAAACAAATTTTTTGGGGGGTGGAAAGTCCCACGTTTCATTTTTACCAGTCTTGAGAAAAAAATATAAACTTAATCTTTTAATTGTATTCCTTGAGGTGTCAGTGTTTTTGAAAAAAAAAACAAAAAAAAACATTTGTATGTTTGTACTAAATTAGTGACAATTTTGAAGCCAAAATTATTAACTTTGAATAATAATACATTAAGAGATTAATTCCTTTTCCAGCCTTAATCTTTCTTGATTCGTTGATTGATCAATGTTGTGGGTCATGGATCATAACATCGTTATCAATCACCCAATCTTTTTTTGGTGATTCTACACTCCAAAATATCAGACGTATACACCACTTCTTGTGAATAGGCCCTGGTTTCGGAAAAAAAAAAAAAAAACATTTTCTGTTTTTTTAAATATTTTTATTTCGTCTTTCTACTTGCTCAAATCAAATATTTGAATATATCATTTTACAGCATTTTTTAAATAGATTGCAATAACAATATAATAAAAGCTATCAACATTTAACAAAAATTTCTAAAAAGCAAATATTTTTCAGGTAAACTAGGACAAACTTTTTCTTGTCAAATTAATAAGGTTTTTTGTTTTATCTAGAAACCCCTAAATATAAATTTTTGATTGAATTTAAATTTATTGACATTTTGACCGTAAAATTTTTGCAATTTTTGAGATGTTGTTTGTGGGGAGGGCTAAAATGAAAAGAAAAATTTAAGTAACACCCAATCTATTTGAGGCAGGTTACCCAGATTTTATTTGTTTAGGTTTTTTGGTTTGCTGAAACCAATTAAACTTTAAAATTATTCAAATCGATTGGACCACAGGAAATCGTTCAAAATTGTAATCCAAAATCCAAAACTGGAACAATTCATTTTCTATGTTTTTCTATACGCTGAATTCAATGAAATGGTTCTCAAATCGATCGAACAAGCTATCTAAAATTGTCGATGGTAGACGAATAACTGCTACACGTTGCAAAAAAATAATAAGGCTTGACTTGATTGTGAATGTATACAATTATTCACAGTCTAATTAAACACAGTGTAAAGTAGATAAGAAATTCTGAAAACCCCTATCCTTATAGGAAATTTAACGCTGAATAGAAACATGAAAAAGGCATTAAGTTGCTTTTTTGCAAGTAAATTATTGAAAATTTCATTTTGAGATAACCAAAATGAGGCTTGTGCAAGTTTTTCTTATTAAATTTTCGACTAAAAATTGTAAAATTGCATTTAAAGTAAAAGCTGAACTCAAGAGTTTCAGGTCATTTTTTTAATTGTCTTTACTATTTCTGTTAGAGTACTGGCTTTTTTAATTGAAACTATTAAAATTTTGGGTTTCCATTAAAATTTCATACTTTCAAAATTTCAATATCATTGAAAGGATTTGTGCAGTGAATCGTGCACAATATGGTACTGCACTTTTCTGTCTATATGAATGGAAAACAATTAGAATCTGTATACCGAGAGATTACATACTATGATTTATTATTCCAAGAATGTTGTATAATAAATAAAAATTGAACTCACAAAACAAGTATAAAACAGTAACTATAATTATGTACTTAATACACAAGGCTACCAATTTTTGTACTTTGTCCGAAATGAAACAAAAGTTTGTGATCTCTTTTTGATATAACTTTTTATTGAAGAAAAAAAAAGTTTCATGATACAATATTTTTAATATCCGATTCGGATTCTACACACAATCCTTCTACTAAACAGAAAGTGGCCAAATTTTAGGCTGAGAGTTTAGGTTACATAGCTCTATTTAAAACAGTGCTGCAATCAGATAAGCAGGAGACAGCTGAAAAGCACATTCGCAGATTCAAGGTAATATCAAAGCTACTTCAACTCATAAGTGTGGAAAAACACTGCTTGTTGGTCAAATATTTGATGTTGGAAAGCAATGATGTACCAAGCTCAGAAATGGCAAAATGTTTTAGAGGTTATTTAACCTATTATGAACCACGATCCATATGCTGAACAATATATATAAAATTCTCTTACAAATTCACAATTCAAACATAGATAATGAAATGTTTTTACATGAAACTAATGAATCTGCGAATTGACCCTCCCATATTTTTTTCTTTTTACACCATTAAAATCGTATAGGTCTTTCTATCTCTCGCTTACATTTCAACCAAAACCTTTTTATTATTATAGAAAGAAACATATGTATAACAATTATATTCGTATTTTACATTTTATTAAAAAGCTTATCTTGTATTGTATTAAATTTATGATTTATTATAATCCATGTATAGTTTAACCATTTTTAGATTCACTTAACTCACACCATAAAGATATAAAATTTACATTAGAAACAAAAACACAATAGAATAAACTAATAATAAGATAAGATATAACTAATAAAAAAATAATGATTTCTTCTTGGCACTCTAAAAAAACTTATTCAAATTATCTTCATCAAAATATAAATAATTAAAAATAATGCATGTGTAGTTTATCAATGGAAAAAACAAAATAATATTAAAAAATTCTCTTCGTTTACTTATATTAACAATATATCATAAAAAATAATCAAAACTTTTAAAATGTGTGGTGTTGATTACATAAAATTTGGTTTTAAACAAAAAATAAATAGTTTGTACACCACCAATAAAAAAATAATATGATTTACCCAATTAATTGTCATGAATATGATTAGATATATATCGACAAAAAAATAAATAAATAAAGTATGGTAGCAAAACGTAGCAGTGATATCAAATATATAGAAAATAACAACCCTTTCTCAACATATAAATCAAAAGTACACCCGATTTTAAAAAACCCACACATTTTGGAAAAATAGTAAGAAAACTAATTACATCCAAAAGTCCCTATTATATTATGATGAAAAATCATAAAAATATATAAAACTAACTTTTTAAATTTATTTAAAAAGAATAACTTTAAAAAATAAAATTTACATTTTGGCACAAACTTTTAAAAATAATATTAAGCCTGAAAAAACTTCCTTAATGTAAAATAAAAATGATATAAAAATCTATAAACAACTAAAATTATTATGAAACAATGTATAAGATAAAAAATAGTAAAAATATATCAAAAACAACAAATAAATATTATATAAGAATATAATAATATATAATTAAAAAATATCTTTTAATACTCATAATTTCAATAATAAATAACTCTATTGCTCCCTTGTCCATTCTAATCTTGAATTCTCTTCTCTTGTCTGGTCTTCTTATCTTCTCTGTCAGAAACATTCTTTAAATTCAAAATAATTTTTTAAAATCATCTCCTTCAAATTAAATATTCCTTATAGATCGCATAATATCTCTCATCTCTATATGATTCTACCACTCATTTATCTCTATATGATTTGAATCTTGCCATGTTTATTTTGATGTTTGTGTTTATCTATAAATTAATAAATCATAGAAACGATCGTCCTTCATCACTTTCTCACGTAAATTTCCAAGTTCCACTCCACAATTAAAGACTTTCTTACATATTCTTCTTTTTCATTCTGGTATCAACCGACTCCAGAAAAAAGTTAATAACCTTATTTAGAAGTTTTCTCAACTAGTCATATTTAGTAGTTCTTTCAGTCCATTAGATCATATTTCTTAGCTATTCCAAATAATTAGATTTTTATTATCGTCTTCATTTACTATAATTGGAAGTTTTAATTCTTTCATTGCTTCAAAATATACAATTTATTCTAATTGCTTATTATATAATTATAATAAATTAATGTTTTTGCTTATTTTTATACTTTATAAATAGGTTTTTAATAATTATTTATTGTTTAATATTTCATAATTATTACAAATGTATAATTTAAGATATAGTTTTTTCACATGGACAAATTTTTTTGATTGCAGGATGTATTGTACAATATATCGTATTTTGGGCATCTGCCTAATTAAATAAATACTTAGTAAACAATATAATAGATGAAATGTTTTGTTTAAGGAGTTTAAGGATAGAGGATATTCAACAGAATAAAAACAAAACGTTAAATAAACAAAAATAATAAAATTTATTTATTGATTTGTAATTACTGACCAGTTTTCCTTAGAGTTAGTTTTACTTTGAGGCCTCCTAAAGGAACAAGAACCGTTGATGGTATAAGGTTAAGTTTGTCTTGAGAACGAAGCGATTCAATTTTGAATTCTCTCAGTACCCAGCTTATCACAGTTTTCATTGCATTGTTTGCAAATCTTTTTCCTATAGTATTAAAAAATAAATCATTTTGTAGCTTTCAACGATTTAACGGAATAACTCACCGACACAGTTTCTAGGTCCTGCGCTGAATGGGATGTAACTGTACGCATGACGATCCTTGCTATTTTCTGGCAGGAAATTATCTGGATTGAAGACTTCAGGGTTGGGGAATTGTTTCGGATTCCGATGAAGGACGTATGGGAAAACAATGCAGTCAACATTTTTTGGCAGCACATAATCTCCTGTAAAAGAATATTTCAGCTGTATAATGTAAGTGTTTCAAAAATTCTGCCATCCATTTAATATTTGTTTTATTTTGCTTTTAACAGAGGGATAAAACTTTAAGCTGTAAATTAATAAACCCAATGCATCTCATACATTTTTGTGTAGCGATGATTTATTTTAACTTTGTGTAATTTACTTACCAAGTGTCTGATCCTCTGTTATACGACGGGCGAGTATAGGTACACTAGGATAAAGACGCAATGCTTCTTTTATACACCTCTCAATAAAATACATCCTCTTTAAATCCATTAATGTAGGGTCCCTCTTTGAATCGCCAAAAATTTCATCAACTTCATCAGCAGCTCTTTTCTAAAATAACGATCCATGCAACAAGAAACTCAAAAATATTGGCTTTCTATTCATTATTATATTTTTTAATTTAAACTTTTAATTGTATATATTTAGTTTAAGAAATTTTCTAATTCCTTAAGGTTTTGGTTGAGATAAAAAAGTCAGTGTCACAAGCGGGATTCGAATAATTAATTGAAAAAATAATTTATTTGGTCAAGCAGACCACGAAACCGAATAAAATTTTCTAATGTTTCTATGATGTATTTGACACAAATAAAAATAGGACTTAATTAATTATTCTTAATCACTCAATTGAGTTAATTTGTTCTTCTGGATATAGATAATAATTACAACAGTTACACAAATGTCCTCAAAGTAATTATAGACAAAGGACAAAATCTCTGCAACATAGATCCTTAAGATTTGCAAATCTGACTTTTTGAACAAACCCTTTTCTGATATTGGATTAAGTACGCTTTAAAAATGAGAAAAAACTCCTCTTCTATCTTAGACCAAAACGCATAAGCAAAAAGAAATTGAAGCGTGTAGATAAAAAATTAGTGATTAACTACACGCATAAGATTTTTTTTTCCAATTTTCAAAAAAGATAAAAAACCCTCCTAGTAAATCATTTCCCTAGTGTGTAAAATAATGAAGAAGTTAGTTGCCAATAAAATTCAGTGGTTCTTAGATTCAAAAATTCTATTGCCCCCTTGGCAGTCTCCATAAAAATCAGGACTACATTGAGTTTGTTTTGAGTTTGACACCTTGAATGCCTTAAACAATGCTGACAGGGTTTTCACAGTTTTCCTAAATCTGGAGAACGCTATCAAATATGACGACGGTTAATAATAAATTCACTTATCGATATTTAATTACCTGTTCGTCTGGATACAGCCCCAAAAGATAAATACAATAACTTATCGCCAACATTGTCGTAGTTTGCCCCTAATTGGAATTAAACACATATTTAAAAATAAACATTTGAAAATAAAACTTGAACAACTTTAACTCACTGCGAACACGAATGTGTTTATTTCTTCTCTAATTTCTTCATCTGTAAGAAGTTTGCCACCTTCAGACTGTTTTAACAACAGATCTATAAGTATTGTATTTTTTTTAGTATCTGAAATGAAAGCAAAATTTCTTATTAATATATTTATTTAATAACAATTCAATTAAAATATGTTTGTGATATAATTTTTTTAAAATTATAATTTATATGTATTATTGAAAAATATTGCATTCATTACCAGAATACCATTCTTCATTAGATTCATTTGCAAGAGCTATTCTCCTGTTTTTTATTATCTGAAAACATAATATTGTTGAATTTTCATATTCTATTGATTTAATTTATGTATATCATAATAGATTTATATTTTTATCAAGCACACCTCAGACGTAAACCTTTCGAGGATTTTTCTGTGATGTTCCTGCTCTCGATAAGATGGGGTCCATTTAAAAATGCCATCTACCAAAAGCCAAGGTTTCCAGCATCGGTAAAGAGCAATTTCCTCCAGCCTATAAAAAATATTAATTTCTTAAAGTTTATATTATTTTTGTTTTATACTTCATTATATAACCTTTGTAGTGCTTTGATGACTTCGGATAACCTTTCATGATGGAATCCTTCAGGTACACCTATAGCAGTCTCTAAAATTGAAATTAAAAACTTTTTTTTAAATAAAAACAATCTTAGAAATTAAATTTGTATCAATTTGTAAGGTTTATTGACCTAAAATAAAGTTCATAGTGACTTTCTTGTTGTGCGGGATAATATCAAAGAAGTCGTTGTTTATTGACGCTTCCTTTAGTTGTTTTATGTATTCAGTACTCCTTTTTGTAAATACTTCAAAAAATCCTTCTAATATGTTGAAATGAAAGGCTGGAGTTACCATTTTTCTCCTTTTCAACCATTTCTCTCCTATAAAAAAAAAACCAAAAAAAAAAAAAAACAAGATGTACAGTGTTTTTATACTGTTCCATATATTTCCAATGTGCTAGTGGATTTTCTATTATGATTATTTAATAGATAATCAAATTATTAGCGATTTGGCTTAAAACAATAATGGTAACAATAATTTCCATAAATGTAAAAAAAAGACGAAATAGTCTTTAATTGCCTCTGAAGCTGGGTGTATGGAGGAAATAATCAATATTAGTCAATTTTGTTTTGAAATGAATCTTTTTTATTTTGCTACTTGATGTTGCACCCCTTTGAACAGTTCTGCTGGCCTTATTGCAATGTACAATGTGCCAACTTATATTTTAAGTAGGGATTTTTTATTGATCAGTCACTTACATCCTTGTGCGAGCTTGGTTTTTATGTGGTTCTTCCAGTTGAGTCGTCAGCCGGGTGTATTCCCAAAAATTTTAAAGCCCCATCGTTAGGTTTCCTTGGTATGGGAGTCACTCATGAACATGTTGAATAGGTTGGGAGATAGCACCGATCCTTGTCAGGTTCCTGATGTCATGAATGTCAAGTTGTGAGAGGTATCAATTTATCGAAGATATACTGCATTATGTGGCAATATTTGCATAATGGTTCACTTATGAACATGTTGAATAGGACGGGAGATAGCACCGATCCTTGTCAGGTTCCTGATGTCGTGAATTTCAAGTTGTGAGAGATATCATTTTATCTTGTTTTTAAATGTTCTGTCTCTCATGACCGAGCAGATTGTTTAGAACATAATTGGATTCCTGCATGTTTTAGTTTGTACCATAAACCTGCCATACATGATCGAAGGTCTGTTGTAAATCCAGGAAGTATCGGGTACTCCTTTTTTTCAAGTCCCTGTATGTCCTCGCTCAATCTGTATACCAGGTGGGTTGTTGAGTGTCTGGTCTTAAACCTGAACTGAGTTTGGTGTTCAATCCTTTGCATATGGGAGTAGTTTGCCTAATATAGCAGACTATTTGACCAATAGTTCTCTAAGTTGGCTTTGTTTTATCCTGTTTTAGGAACCACGGTTATTTGTGGTTGTTCCTGTACCTTTGGTAAGTAACCTGTCTTCATGCACCCATTTAAGAAGTTTAAGATCAGATTACTCCTTTGTGTGGCAGGTGGTTTCATCATTGTTGGAGTCATATTCTTTCCATGGAGTTTTTTGTTTTTTAGGTTTGTTCTGAAGGGGTGATGAATTACGTAGGAAGTTTAGGAATTGACACATATTTTATGATTTCTTTGCCTTCTACTTTTTCACCCTACTTAGCGTAAATATCAGCAAAATGTTTGTGCAAAAAACACTTGTCAAATAAAACAATAAAATTATTAATTTATACTTAATTGAATTACAATCGACTCTTGATAATTTGAAACCCAAAGGACCACAAAAGTAGTTTGAATTATCAAGAAAAAAATCAAATTATAGTAAATATGCATTTCTCAAAACTTCTTATTTAAATTGTACATAAATGAAACATTGTAAAAATAATGAAAAACGTTGAAATATATTAAATATAAAATTGAACATTATTAAAACAATCATGAAGCGGTTTTGATTCAATATGGCCTGGACCAATGCTTATAACAATGACAAAACACTGACCGATGAATATAAACTATTGAAAATTCAAAAAAAAAATTAGGCTGCAAGAAAGTAAACCATGGAAATTTTAGATAAATATTAAAAGGTAAAATTTGAGTTATAAAGAGGGGAGGTGGATCAATTTCGAATTATAGAATGTTCTTTCTCCCCCTGCAATGAAAAATATTAAAGACAAGTCAAATATAACTTTTAAAAAACATCTGTTACATAATAAAAATTATAATATAAATTCCTTAAAGACAAAAAAATTATGGTATATTACGTATCAAAATACACATTTTTTTTTTTCGATTTAACAGTGATCTGTTGATGAGTTCCTTATTACTTTCGAAATTCGAATTATCAAGTTTCAACTTAAAAAGAGCCAACAATATTAATTACGTTAGCCTTCAGAGGGAAAAGGAAGCGAAGTGTGAAAGAGGCTGACCTTTATACGTTACATTTACATACATTTTACCGTAAGGACTGCAGATATTGATAGATTTTTTCAGATTAACGTTAATTGTTTATAATTAGCCAGGTCCATGGAAATGACCAACAATAGGCATTGTTTTTTGTTTTTTTTTTATTAAAAAACAAACATTGTTAAATCGTAAAATATATTAACATATAATATTTTAATTAATTAAATATCAAATACCTTTGCTAGTTATTAAACCTTCACCGAGAAGAGGAAGCAATGTGTGATAAACGCTGCCCTTATCATTGTGCTTCTGCTTTTTGCTTAAGATTTCCTGAAGAAAAACAATATTTGTCGAACGTTAGCAATGATTAATTTTTATGAAAATTTTATTGATTTAAATGTTTATGAAATTTCACCTGAACCGCTTCGGGCGAATGGACGAACACCTGCGGGTAAAACGTCATGAAGTTCTTGTTACAAATCGGGAACTCGTTTTGCAATTTTTTGATAATTTCAAGCGATTCTAAAATACAAATAAAAAAATTAGATTTTTTTTATATTTTAGAATGCCCATTTAGTATGTTAAGTTATTAAACAAAATTTCTGCAGTTTGTATGTCTCTTTTCGTCTTTCATGTCTCGTCATCTTTAATTGTGGATTTATTTCCAAAAATGTAATGTAAATTATTTTCTTCTCAAATCATAAAAGCGATTTGATTTATATAATAGTAGTTGATTAAAAAAAAAATTATGGAATTGTCTTTGTTTTGGTTTGGTCTTATGTATTTGACTTTATTATTTGTTCGATTAGGTTTCGTGGTCCGATTAACCAAATAAATTCTTTTCAATTATTCTTTAAGTAAGGTATTGGTTGAGATAAAATTGTCGCCGAGAATCAAATAGATTTTGACGACATTTGAAAAATGGCAAAAAGGAGGGAAAATTCGTAAAGGTGGGGTTGAGATGGCAAGTGGTGTCCGCGTGGATCGAAGTCACGATAGCTCAAGTTGTAGAGCAGCGGCGTATTTAGCCGAAGGTCGTGGGTTCGAATCCCACTCGTGACATTGGTTTTTTTTATCTTAACCAAACCTTAATTAAAGATTAACCAATAATAATACTAATGGTAAAAAACTGTACTGGTCGCTAACTTGCACACAACCCAAAACCTTAATTAAAGATTAACCAATAATAATACTAATGGTAAAAAACTGTACTGGTCACTAACTTGCACACAACCCAAAACCTTAATTAAAGATTAATTATTTATGTTGTCAGTCTTGTCATGGCACATGTCCGCATTAGATCGGACTTTTTGCGTTATACTCGTCAAACCAGTTTGATCAAAATTATGTTAATAAATAATTAATAATCTGTTAGTATAACAAGATAATTACGTACTCGTAGGCCGTGAGTAGACCCCTAAGTGGCCGATAATTGGCTTTCCAGGCGGGCCCGGAAGTTTTCTCACCATCCATATAACGCGACACCAAGAAAAAACCGTCGCGATGAAATTCCATATTGATTCTAGTAAACTGTCGATAAATTCCTGAGGCTGGATCTGAAACGAGAATCAACTTGATTTCCTTGAAAGTTCTATTCAAAGTCGTCAACTTATATAGCTAATTAAAGTTAAGCAGGAAGCTGAAAGGTTAATTATCTTATAAAAACTTACATATAATTTTAAAATTTTTTTTTCTCTATCAACCGTTATACAAATTTTCTAACGATTAATGAAAAATTTGATTGTTATCCTACCTCGTCAGTTGTCCAACTAACACGCAAAATTGGCACACAGCAAATTAGCATGGACTAATGAAAAGGAGAAAACGGATCCGACGCCAGACTTGGACCAATTGGCAAAACTCCTACATAAGCATGAGTTTAGGCGTACATTTACAATTTGATGGATAAACTTAAAACATCATACCGACACGCTTGTCAACAACTCCAGCCAAACTTGCCAAAATTTCAATTACTCTTGGTTAATACACGATTTAAGATTGTATTTGTAAAATGAAGAACATTTCCTATTCGCGCAGGTTAGAATGGTTACGTTATGATACGTACAGCGGAATTTTGAACCAGTTGAATTTTAAAATACCAGACTAATTTTTCTCGAGATGAAATCACACACAAATCAGCACATCTTTTTATGACTGCCAAAATTATTTTAGAAAATATTGGCCCTTTAGAGACATAACCAGCGTTTTCCAAGATACTTCTAACAAATTCTTAACCTATTAGAACACAGAATAGTTTGCTTAGTCGCTGTTTTGATCTATGCTCGCACGCAGTCCTCAAGAGGAAATATTACAAAATGAAGCGTTTAGCCCATTATGATTGTAAACTAATAAAAAGCTTAATTATTCCAATATACAAAGTGTGGTGAGTGGTGACTGTATATGCCCCATACTTTACTACTTCACCATACAAATGTACAATGTATGTATACCTCTTTTTCTCGCTCGCGTACATATACAGGGTGTTCGGCAATTGGTGGCACAAACCTTGCCCGTGGATTCTATGTTCAAAATGGAACCAAAAAGTCCTGATTAATTATGGTCCGAATCTCAACAGTTTCGGAATTATTCCCACTTTTGTCTGACTTTTTGAGATTTCACGACCATGCTTCAGATAAACAATGATAACTCCAAAAATAGAAGGTTTTGGACAAATCCGTTGATACCGTTGAAAACTACGTTAAATTTCCAATAAGATGTGATGAATACAAATCTCGTGTACGTTGGTGAAACGTTTTGGTAGCCAGAATTTTTTTTTTTCAAAGTTAAAAAATTTACTGATTTTAAACTACTATTTACAAACCTAGAGACCAGCAAATTTCATTAAATGTACTCCATTTAAGATCCTTTTTATTGGTGTAATTTATTTTTTAATTACTTCTTTCAAAGATGAAGAAATTGATGAAGGAAAAGAATAACCGTGGTTGAAGGATTGATAATATGGAAAGATTAATAATAATCTATTAGGTTTCCTGGTCCGATTGACCAAATAAATTTTTTTTAATTAATTAAAGTTTTGGTTGAGAATAATTGAAAAATGGCAAAAAGGAGAGAAAATTCGAAAGGTGGGTTGAGATGGGAAGTTGGTGTCACGATAGCTCAAGTGGTAGACAGCGGCGTATTTAGCCGAAGGTCGTGGGTTCGAATCCCGCTCCTGACGCTGAGTTTTTATCTCAACCAAAACCTTACTTAAAGATTAATTAATTGAAATTAATAATAATACAAAAAAGGAAAATTTGAATGAATTTATTAAACGTTCTTTAATTTTGAAAAATTATTTTTCAAAGTACTCTCGCTACTAAAACGCTTATTTCATCAACGTTTACAAATTTAGTATTGACATGTTACTGAAAATTTAACATAGTTTTCAATGGTATCCACGGATTTCTCCAAAAACTTTTAGTTTTGGAGTTATCATTGTTTATTTGAAGCAAGGTCGTGAAATCATAAAAAATCATAAAAAAGGGGAATAACTCCGAAACCGTTGATATTCGGACCATAGTTAATTAGGACTTTTTGGTTCCATTTTGAATCTAGATTCTACTGGCAAAGTTTGTAACACGAGTAGCCGAACAACCGATTCAACTTTGTTCGTGTATTTTACAACTTAAACTTAGCTAGAAAACTTCCTAGTTTAGGTGTATTTTTATAAAGGACTTATTTATTTTCTATAAGAAAAACTATCAATTACCTCACTTAACGGATCCTTTCCAGTGAAACTGTTCATTCTGTTTCTATGTGTTCACAAGTACCACCTTCTCAAACAATGCTCCCCACTTCATGATCACCGTCTAATATATGTAAACAGCAATTACCATCCAAGACACGTGAGAAAACCAAATCCTTTCCGGGCCTTGAGTTGCTAAGAAGTTTTTTTTTCTGTTTTGGTACACGATTTAACCTAAATATTTACGAAAAGTATGTGGGGTAAAACACTAATGGGTCGTTTTAAGGAAGCTATTTGGTTTTTTATAGTGCGTGTTTTATGGGCTTTTTGAACAATTTTGAGCTAAGAGTTGTCCTCGTGTTTAAATACACCGGAACGGGAACAATTAAACTGCACTAAGTCAAATTTTACAAATTTTAATATATTTCAGATTAATTCAATTATTTTCCAGTACCTAAACTGGAGCCACTACTGACACATTTAAAAATGTTCCTTATGTAACGTAAAATAAGGATTTTATGGGATTTTTGAAAAAAAAAAACAACTTTTTTTTAACAAAGACTTTTCGTTTTAAATGTCATTTGGTGTAAAGTTTACAGACTGTACGTGAGCGATATTTCGAGTTATTATCTAGTTTATTTGGGTTTATTGATTTATATCGAATTTATTTCATGACGTAAGTTAGTTATTTTGATTTTGCCGTTTTCACATATTCGGCTGTCAAATTTGAACAATTTTATTGTTTATAACTTATAAGAATAATAGACCTGAGACAGGCACGAAATATTAACTTTTGACAATTTAAGCTCTATTTGCTGGATTCTCCCCAAATAATTTTACACTGAGTGGGGGGGCCAATATTTCAACGATTTACCGATTCAATTATCTAACTGCAAACATTTTGGCACCTGTAAATAACGACTGGTAAATAATAGAAAAATAACGTCAGAATTTATTTCTTTACTGTAGGAATAATAATCAGTAATAAACGGGGGGACGTCGGTGGCCGCAACGGTTTAGGCGTTGACACGGCGCTCATCACTGTACGGTAAAGGTCCCGGGTTCGAATCTAGCCGCCCTGCATTCGAACCCGACGTACAAATGTTTTTTATTATTACCCCGAGGGTTTATATAACCTCTGCTGTTGCGTACCCTCGCAAAAAAAGAAAAAAAGTACAATGTCTAAAATCCCGATTTAAATAAGGAAAGGTAGCTTTTCCCAGCTCCTCCCCCCAAAGTTTTATTGTGTTTTTGGTTTTATTATTGTTATTAAGTAGCATTAGTACTTTGAATATAAAAAATATTTTTTTGCAATGTATAAATTAACTTTTTTCCACATTCTACATATATTTGTTAAATTTAAACAACGTTTGTAAATCCCAGGCCCTGAAGATGATCTCAATAAAGATCGAAACGTGATAAAGATGAGCCTGTACTCATACTGAGACTTTTTGCTAGTCTGACTCCAGTATTATTATTTGACAATTAATTAAGGTTTTTAGTTGAAATGAAAAAAAGTTAATGGCACGAGAGGGATTCGAACCCACGACCTTCGGCTAGATACGCCGCTGCTCTACCACCTGAGCTATCGTGACCTCGATCCACTCGGACATCAACACCCCATCTCAACCCCACCTTATGAGTTTTCCCTCCTTTTGCCATTTTTCAATCGTGGGTTCGAATCCCTCTCGTGCCATTAGCTTTTTTTCATCTCAACTAAAAACCTTAATTAATTGTCATGTATTAATTGGTCAAGCGGACCACGAAAGCAGTGAATTAATTATTATTATTATTTCTGGCCACAAGCCTACGGGAAATGTTTAAATTATGGAAGAAAAAATGCGAAATTCTAATTAAAGAATATGAATAAATTTTACTATTTAAAATGTTTTTTTTTGTGTGCAAACATTTGACCTTCATTCATTCCCGGCAGATTTTATTCATAACTGCCAACATTTTGACACCTGTAAATAACGATTTATAGATAAAAGAAAAATAACGTCAGAATTTATTTCTTTCTGTAGGAATAATAATAATGTGTGGTGGTTAGTGACCGTTAATCGATAATTATTCAGAAATAGTTAGATGTCTGGTATGATGTAGGTTTCAGAAAAACATTTTCTTTATCGTGCTAACGTTTGATCTTTATTGAGATCATCTTCAGGGCCTGAGATTTACAAACATTGTTTACATTTAACAAATACATGAGGATGTGGAAAAAAGTGAACTTATACAATGCAAAAAATATTTTTATATTCAATCCAAGTATTCCTACTCACAAATGCTACTTAATAAAAACAATAAAACCAAAAACACAATAACACTTTTTGAGAGGGAGGTACCTTTCCTTATTTAAATTGGGATTTTAGACATTGTAGTTTATTACTATTATTTTTTTTACGAGTGTTCGCAACAGCAGAATATAAACCCTCGGGGTGCCGGTGTTTTTGGAATAAAAAACATTTGTACGTCGGGTTCGAATGCAGGACGGCTGGATTCGAACCCGGGACCTTTAACTTACAGTGATGAGCGATCTGTGAACTTCAGGGCTCAAAGTGTTTGTTTTCTGCGTAATTGTACCATTCTTGTGTGTCATGTTGAGAGTGCCCCCCCATAAATTTTTTATATATATATATACACATCCTACATGTATTTGTTAAATTTAAACAATGTTTGTAAAACCCAGGTCCTGAAGATGATCTCAATAAAGATCGAAACGTTGACACGATAAAGAAAATGTTTTTCTGAAACCTACATCATACCAGACCGCATCTCACGATTTCTGAATAATAATAATAATAATAGTAATAAACTAAATGCCCTAAATCACAATTTAAATAAGGAAAGATAGCTCCCTCCCCCCCAAAAAAGTGTTATTGTGTTTTTTGTTTTATTATTGTTATTAAGAAGTATTAGTATATTTATTATTATCCTCTAGACTCTATTACATTATTATTATTATTACTGGCCATACAAGCCTACGGGAAATGTTTAACTTTTGGAACAAAACTGCGAAATTCTAATTAAAGCATAGTGATACAGAGATCCAATACATCAGTTTGCAATTTTATCATAATTTTTTTTTCTGCCTTACAAATTAGGTATTTTAAAAGGATATAGTAAAGCTTTATAGGGCAATAGGATAGATAATGCAGCGAAATTTTGCTCGATCACATAATCGAAGCGTGTCGTGCCTTGGCTCTCTACAGGGCGCGAGTAGGCTTACCGCCAGATTTAAACGGGGTTCTCGGACACGGTAGCGAGTTTCAGGGTCTCCTGTTCCGCTTTTTAAGGTAATTGGGAATTTTTTTAATTGCATTTAGTTAAATTATGCGTTTTGTGTTTCTGGGTCAAGACCCAGAAATCAGTGAATCTGTTTATTGGTGTGACTCTGTTGCGAGTAGTGATTTATTGAGTAGGTGTTGAGGTATTTTACCTCCACTCGGGGCTGAAATGACTTGAAAAAAAAAACATGCATAAGGATTTGTTAATGGATATTTTATTAAAATGTCTCTAATGTAATTTTTGAGTAATGTTTTGTATACCTAGATCTAAGTCCGTATATCTAGAGAAATCAAATTTTTTAGCAATTGATTCTAATTTTAAATTTTATTGTACTGGCATTTCGTTATAATTTTTATTTAAATTTATTTTTATAAAGATGATTGTTTTTATTTTTGTCTCAAGACAACCCCTCAGACGGTCTCAATGGCTATAAGTATGTCTAGCGTATGGAATAAAGAAAACAATGTATAAGATTGTATTTGTATTTGTTAATAAGGACTTTTATTAATATTATAGTTGATTTTTTATAACATGGACATTTTTAAGATTAATTTGTCTTTTTTTTTGTATGTTTCTTAGTGACCTTGTTTTATAATTTGTTGAAGTCGTGAGGATCGGTCAAGAATGAGGTAGTTTAGAAAAACTCTTTTTTCATGTTTTGCCGACGTTTCGACCTTTATTCCGGTTATCTTCAGTGTATAAAGTTGATATTCTTGCGCTTCTTGCACAACACTTCCACACAAAACCAACATGACACCACAAGAATAACAGCACATTTTATGCCCTGAAGATGACCCGAATAAAGGTCGAAACGTCGGCAAAAAAATGAAAACGGTGTTTTTCTATACTAACTATTTCTTGACCGCTCTTCACGATTTCAACAAACTATTTTTTTTTAAATTTCCATGTGGTTTTTGTTAAAAGTATATTCATTATTTATTAAAACATTTGTTTGAATCTTTCGGTAATTTACACCCGTCACCAGTATCTTTAAAAAATTAAATTTTTCATTCTACAGCTCGTCGTGTTTAAAAATTTGTCTGAGACAGTACCTCGAAATTGGAGTAGAATGCCGTAAACCTCGTAATTTTACTTAAATCCACGTTAAACGTGAAAAAACACGTTTTTCTACATAAAACTTAAATTTTCCCTGCTTTTGATCACATTTTTATTTTAACGTAGTGTGTTAGATTCACTATTTTTCGTGGTCCGCTTGACCAATTAATATCATTCAATTAATTAAGGTTTTTAGTTGGGACAAAAAAGATGGGAAGTTAGTGCCCGAGAGGATCGAGATCACGATAGCTCAAGTGGTAGAGTAGCGGCGTATCAAGCCGAAGGTCGTGGGTTCGAATCCCGCTCGTGACACTGACTTTTTTTATCTCAACTTAAAACCTTAATTAATTGAGTAATGCGTTAGATTGTATTTGTATTAGTTAATAAAGCTTTTATTTTTATTATTATTGTTTTTTTATAATAACATGAACATTTTAAGGTCAATTTGTCTTTATTAATTTTTTGGTTTTTGTTAAAAGTAAATTCTTTACTTATTTAAACATTTATTTTTATCGTTCGGGAATTTACACCCATCATCAGTATCTTTAAAAAAATTAAATTTTTGGTTTTCTCTACGTAAAACCTCAATTTTCTCCACTCTAACTTAACTTTTCCCAACTTTTGACTCCATTTTTAAATTTATCACCGAATTTCCTTTTAGATTAGTCTACTATTTTTCTAAAAGTTGCCGGTATATTTACAAAATAATTCTACAAACATAATGAAATTTGAATTTTGTATCAATTTCTTTAAACAGTAGGCCCTTAGACTAAAATTTTTAAAAATGTCAAACCATCTAAAAACTTCAAATATTTATGGCCCTGGCAATTAAATGCTTGGCCCAAGAGTTGATCGGGCATGTAAATTATTAATTAACGAATACGTTATGAAATAAGTCACTTAGTAAACAAACAAACTGTTCTCCGGAATAAAAATTAAGTAACGGTCGCTAAATTCCACACAAAATAAAAATTAGGCTCAACTCTTGGGCCATTTAATTTCCAGTATAGGTCCAACTGACATTGCAAATCGAAAAATCAAAATAATAGAGGTTTCGAACAGACTATCGGAAAGCTCATAAAATGTTGAAGTTTTTAGCTGGTTTGACATTTTTATGCAAGAGAGCTTTATTTTAAAGAAATTTGTTCTAAAATTACCATTTTGCAAATTTCATGATGTTTGTCCAGTTATTTTGTATGTAGACTGGCAATTTTTTTTAGAACAAAAGTGGTCCAATCTAAAAATAAATTCGGTAGTAAATCTAAAAACGGTGTCAAAAGTTAAAAAAAAAACGTTAAGAGTGGGGAAATTTATGTTTTATGTAAAGAAACAGTTTGTCTTAAATAAAAACTCAAAAAAGTCGTCACTTTTGAACGTATTGAAATAAAACCGTGAGATTTATGGCATTCTACTCTACTTTATATATACCGTCAAAACAATTTTTTGTAACACGACGAGCTGACCACCCTGTATATAATTTATTTCAAAAGATGCTAATCTTGAACGATGGAAGTCCTTCTATCTTGGCCAGGCTTATCGATGCAAAATGATCGTTAAAAAAACTGTATATAATGAAAAATTTATTTTTAAAAAAATTCTGATGATGGGTTTTCAATCCCCAAATGTCCAAATAAATGTTTAAATAAATAATGAATTTACTTAAAAAAAAACCATATAAAATTGTCTTCTCCCAAAAAATGTCCATATATGTAATTTTTATAAACATTATATGTATTTTTGAATATATGGATCGATATTTGTTTTAATTAAAAAATTATTTAAATGTCTATTACTAATTCAATAGTGTGAATTACCCCGGACACGTTTTCATCCACGTTTGATTCCGCTAAAAAATGTCGGACGTGAGTGATCATTTTCTCGACCTCTTTAGCACTTCTTCTAGTGGTTCTTCGTCTTCTTCACCATCCAGTAGTATCGACCTTTACTAAAAAAAATCTTTGGAACATCCACAACTGGTCACAAAAGACCCTTGTGGTCTGCGGGACTTGGAACTCTGACCATCCTTATAAAGAAACCCCACCACTCTCTTCATATCTTTAATCGGGATTCCAATGCCAAAATACGAATTATAAAACTTTTGTCGACCTTGAGGGCGGAAAAAAATCAGTTACACCGAGGGGACAGAAATGCACGGTTATGTACGATTAAACGAGATTTTTTTTTCCAGACAACCACCACTTCCTTACATTATATCAAGATATGAAGTGTCGAGATTTTACTGTATTGATAATTGAATTGTGGTGAAAAATTTACTGTCTGCTTTTTCAAAAATTAAGGTTTAATCTTAGTACTTAATAGAATAGTATAATGCCATCATCCGCGAGGATCCTTCGTGTTAAGACCACGACCTGCAGATAGCTCCCGAGGATCTGAGCCGTAGACGTAAATATAGTTTCGGCGCCCTTTTAGAGCTATTGTAACCCCCGTGCTCTGCCTAAAGCATCGGTGAGTCCTACTTCATCAAGAAACTTGATTAATAGGCCCGGTTTCAATGGTTGAAGCTCTTCTATGGTCACATTATATATACCAAAACATTTCCCCCTACGGGCTAATTTAAGCTCCGCAGGTTGTTAATAGATGTGTTGGTGTCTCTTCTGCCTCTCTGCCGAATCTGAATGTGCCATCTTGGATTATTCCAATTTTCTTTAAGTGTCCATTTAACTTGCAGTGTCCTGTTAGGAATCCTATTAGGATTCGCAGTTTGTTCCTGCTTCCCTCGACACATTCTGTAATTTCTTTCCTTCCAAAATTGGTTAGAAGATTCTTGCATCCTTTCTTTGCAAGGGGTCCGCTTTCTCGTTGCCTTCCACTCCCCCATGTCCTGGGACCCAGCAGAGCCCGACTCTGTTCTGCATACCTCGCAAAGCACTTCCTCCTGCGGGCAAGTGTAGCACCACAGGTGTGTTGGTGTCTCCTCTGATTCTGCAGAATCTCCATGTGCCGTCTTGGATTATTCCAATCTTCTTTAGCTATGACCATTTAGCTTGCAGTGCCCTGTTCAGAATCTTGTTAGGATGCGCAGTTTTTTCTGCTACCTTTGACACATTCTGTAACTTCTTTCCTTCCAAAATTTGTTAGGAGGTTCTTGGATTGTTTATGCCCAATGGGTGATTCCACTGTTCCATCGTTTTCTTTTTGACCTTCTGTCTGAGGTCATTGATAGTGTGGGTTCCTATGCCGCAGAAGGGCTCGGGTCCTATCAGCGGTATAGCAGTCCCTTTCTTTGCAAGGGGTCCGCTTTCTCGTTGCCTTCTACTCCCCCATATCCTGGGACCTAGCAGAGCCCGACTCTGTTCTGCATACCTCGCAAAGCACTTCCTCCTGCCGGCAAGTGTAGCACCACAGTGAATAGGTGTGTTGGTGTCCCTCTGATTCTGCAGACTCTGCATGAGCCGTCTTGGATTATTCCAATCTTCTTTAGCTTGCAGTGCCCTGTTCAGAATCTTGTTAGGATGCGCAGTTTTTTCTGCTATCTTTGACACATTCTGTAACTTCTTTCCTTCCAAAATTTGTTAGGAGGTTCTTGGATTGTTTGTGTCCAATGAGTGCATTCCAAAGTTCCCTCATTTCCTTT